TAATTTGACCAACCTCTCCTGGGTCTCTCAAGATGACTTTTAATCATCCTCAACCGAATTAGCCTAACTTGAAAGGCATGCTAATTCCAGTCAACTACCGAGAACAAAAACAAGGCGTGTTCATTCCATTAACCTACCTGTAAATTTCGTCCACACGAGCTTTGATTCACTCTTTCTCCCAGCTCCGTTTAGAGTCACAACCCTCACAAACACCAGATATGCCGTCCAATCCTTGAGTCCCGTAATCAAATGGGACCTTTTAGCCGATAATATGCGCTTAGATTTGAACTGTTCTTCTTCCAACTCTTTGTAGAAAACAACGTAACCTTGAAAGAGGCCTGTTAAGTTCTCCACATACGAGCTTTCCATGGTGACATTTACCGAACCTATGCTTGTCATGTTCGACGCAGAAAAGGTAATGCCCTCAACGTCCACTGAACAAACAGAGAAACAAATCATCTCAAAATGAAGAGCCTTTACAGCCCGGCATCCCTTGGCCTTCTTTTTTTTAAAGACATTCACGAAATCATTTGGTATGAGTAAGGGAGACTTGTTTGAAAATATTTGAAAAATCACCTAAGAAACTCGTGTATTTTTCGTAACGGTACATTTTGGTGTGGCAGATTTCTGATTTTACGACATGTGAGAAAATGCAAGGTTCGTTATCAAATATTTTCTGTGTTGTCTACTTTAAAACTTGGGCATTCAATATTTCGGTAATACCCGCGATGCAAAATATATCTGCGCATGTTGACATACAGTTACAAAGCGTACCTTCATCAGACTGAATATCTACTACCGTCCATGAATTAGTGGGAAGAACTGTTCCAGCTCGAAGAGGGTCCAACGCGGCCCCACTCCTCTGGTCAAAAACAACGGTTAGGTAAGCTGATTGGGTTTTCGTTCTGTTAAATAAAAAGAGTTCTGCATTTACCAAAGACTCAATTAAATTTTTAGATATATAAGTGACTATTTCAGTTAGAAATTAAGTTAGGGTCATGTTGGCCACCACCACCCTCCCCCTTCCCATCCTTCGCCAAAAAAAAGACATTTTCGTCCTGCAAGCTTCTCATCCATGCCCACACCTGAAAATAAAGTATTAGTTAGAACTCTCTGGAAGACTTAATTCTCACCCGATATTTGTGAATTCATATTTGTTCACTGCCACGCTTGAAACGTTATTCTCGCCAACAAGAGCGGCTATCTGGCAAAGAAATAACGAAAAAGTACAAAACAGCATTATTTCCGGTCATGATTACAAAAAAATGGGCATCATTCTTTTCTCTAGGTAAAGGAGAGGATGTCAGATTACAGTAAATACCCGCATATAGGAACAATTGGATTAAGAACACCAGGCTGAAATTTGTCCAACAAAGCCCCATTTTTATAAGAACAAGATCAGCTTGAAAATTGTAACATGTTCTTATAAAATGGAAAAAGTGTCATAATTACAAAACATAAAAGTTTATGTTTGCTGTCAGATAACTTCATTTGTTAATATAATCAAATTACAGAATAATTATTTATTTTATTTCCTAAAATATGCTAAATATACCTCTAGCAACATGTTTTGGATAGTATTACTAAATAAAAATATGAGAACATTTTAAGAACATTTGGAGGCTGATTTGTCATTAAGCACCCGATAAATAAGAACTCAATCAGCCTGACCTCCGAAATCGTGTGTTCTTATATGCGGGTGTTTACTGTACTGGGGAGTCAATGTCCTTTTCCTTTTAAAAAGAAATATACGTCTAAGCCTGTAAGTGTTTATGATTTCTTAGAGAGGCAAGACCGTAAAATTTTCAAAAAAGTTTCTAATGCCAAAGGACATCCACTTTTATCTATTATGCCTCGTGTTAAACCCTCTAGCTACAATCTTAGGAAAGAAACTTGTTTTAAACCTAAGATTAACACTATGCGCTTCAAAAACTCTTTTATTAATCGTTTAGTTTTTAAATATGAATTAGCTGTGTAATATACTAGATATATATACCGGTATATATTTTTTAATTCTTACTTTTTAACTTTTTAAATTTCTTACACTTACTTGTAACAAAAGATATGTATTTTTATCTCTTGATGAATAAAGACTTTATATATATATAGATATATATATAGTAATACTGCAGTTAACTCTCAGATATACCTCAGATATCAATGACGACGTTACGCTCTCCATTCTTTCAAAGTCGACGAATGTCGACGCAGCTTGATTAGTGAAAACCTCTCTCTCCACTTTTATTTTTACCGTGGAAAAGGTAGCTGCGAAGAAAACATTAGAGCTAATAACTGATCAGTTAAAAGTATGATTAAACGCTACCGAGTCGAGGCCGTTTAGAAAGGCTACGCTAGAGACAGAAGGGGATGTTTACATGGAGGGAAGAAGATCCTAGAAGGCGGATCAACTTTACGTTGGGTTTACATGTAGAAGTTTTAGTCCGTATGATGCCCAAGTAAAGAAGGTTCGAGAAAAAAACATCATACCCGTGTTTTTAAGGTGCAGAAACACCTAGTTAACTTTATTTTTGTAATTTTCGTTGTGACTTATAAATAAAGTTTTAAAGATCTTTTGAAATACTTGATAAAGCCATCTTCGGTTACATTTATTACTAGAGAAAATTTTTCCAGATTTAAAATAACTCCGAATTTATGATCACATTTAGGGTATTCGGATTCGTAACCCTTTGCACACATTATTTTATCTGAGAAACTTCTTTCAGATAAGTCGCTGAAGATTCAGGGTTAAAAATCTCCAGGCACTTGTCCTAACCGGGACGTTTTGTAAACTACATACGAGTCCAATTCCAAAATGTGTCGGATTCTTTACAAATCGAAAAAAAAGCACCTTCTCTAGTCTAAACTTAGCCTTACTCGTTTTCAGGAGCACGTAATAGAGAGCATAGATTTAAAGACTAGGACGACCGCGAGTACGAGAGTTAACTTAAAGTTTTGCCGCGTATTGTCAAAAATATTCAGCCCGGAAAGCTTCACTGTACTATTTTTTACCTGAAAAATTAGTGCGGTTATTTTTATTGGAGAAGGTTTAGCGCTTTCCCGCTTTCCCGGTTGCAAAATGATTTAAGTTCAAAAATTTGATAACTTGTTTCCGCCAAAATGACGTTGGTTCCGCAAGAGCACTACTTAGTACTGAGAAAATCTCGTACTCGTAGTCATCCTCGTCTCGGAATATAAAGCTCTCTAATATCAAAGGATTACATTGATGTAGCTAGGCAGTAATCTACCTTTATAACAATCATAAACTTGAGTTATGACCGCGTCGCCAAACGTTTCATACCAAATTACCAAGTCGTCGAACGAAGCAATGGGCAAGCCATTCGATGAGTCTCCGACCTGAGCAGTTGGCGATACAAAAGCATGGACAAGACTTTCCACATCGTAATATAAAGGCTCTTGCCTCTCTCCATTAAAAAAGAAGCTCAAAGAACTGCATGTTCCGATGGTAATACTGGCATCGAAAGAAAGTACAAAATACGACCAGATATTCTCTGGAGCACTGTAAATCCATAAACAAGTTTGGGTTTTTTGGCGCAGTTCTACCGCAACATGATCAAGAGAGCTGTTATACTGAAAAACTCTCAAGCCTTTTGAGTCTGCCGTTTCAGTTGCCCCAGTAAACAGAAATGTTTGCCCAGCCTCTTTATTACTGTGCTTTAGCCAAAACGAGACAGTAAGACCTTGTACGCAGAGCTCAGGGTCAGAAATACAGCCTGTATCGTTAAATAAAAAGATCGTACGAAGCTCTCCATTTGTAGATACGGCGTAATCTTTAGGACCAGCGGTTCTTCTAGGGAAGACCCCAGACCATTTAAGAGAGTTATCTTTGGCGGTATGTACGTCCTTGGGATCGTCAAAAGGAAAATGATGCTTCGCCGTGAGAAGCAAAGCCTCTAGCTTCAAAGATGGGTAATCTAAGGAAAAATAAAAGAAAAATGTGTCCTATGTTTTCTATCATTATGAGTCTTTTCACTAAGAGAACAAAAGCGACTTCCAACATGTGGTTTGCACCAAAACGTGGTAAAACAAACGGTTCTCAATTCTCTCCTCACGTTTCGACGCCTTTGATCTATACCTAAACTAGGCATGACTAACGATCTTCAATGTTTCAACAAGGTGGAACAGTGTGGCGGAACAATGGAACAGTGATGGTGGAACTGTGTGGTGGAAAAGTGGAACAGTGGTAGTGGAACAGTGGAAAAGTGTGGTGAAACAGTCGAACAGTCATAGTGGAACAGTCGAACAGTGATGGTACAAAATGGGTGGTAGAACAGTAGAACAGTGATGGTGGAACAGTGTCGTTAAACAATGGAACAGTGATGATGGAACTGTCTGGTGGAACAATGGAACACTGATGAAACAACACTGTGGTAGTCCAGTGGAACAGTAATGGTGGAACAGTGTGGTGGAACAGTGAAACAGTGATAGTGGAAAAGAATTGTGGAACAGTGATGGTGGAACAGTATGGTGGAACAATAGAACAGTCATGGTGGAACAGTGTGGTGGAAGAGTAAAACAGTGATGGTGGAACAGTGTAGTGGAGCAGTGGAACAGTGTTGGTGGAACAGTGTGGTGCAACAGTGGAAAAGTGATAGTGGAACAGTGAAACAGTGTAGTGGAACAGTGGAATAGTCATGTTGGAACAGTGTGATGGAACAGTCGAACAGTGATAGTGGAACAGTGTGGTGAAAGAGTGAAACAGTGAAACAATGATAGGGGAACTGTCGAACAGTGATGGTGGAACAGTGTCGTGAAACAGTGCAAAAGTAATGAAGGAACAGTGTGGTGAGACAGTGGAACAGTGATGGTGGAAAAGTGTGGTGGAACAGTGAAACGGTGATGGTGGAACAGTGGAAGAGTGTTGGTGGAACAGTGTGATGAAAAAGTGGAACAGTGATGGTGGAACAGTAGAACAGTGTGGTGAAACAGAGGAACAGTGATGGCGGAACAGTGGGTGGTAGAGTGGAACAGTTTGGTGGAACAGTGGAACAGTGTCGTGGAACAGTAATGGAGGAACTGGGTGGTGGAACAGTGGAACTGATAGTGGAATAGTGTGGTGGAACAGTGTTGGTGGAACAGTGTGGTGGAACAGTGGAACAGTGACAGTGAAACAGTGTTAGTGCAACAGTGTGGTGGAACAGTGCGACAGTGAAGGTGGAACAGTGGAACAGTGATAGTGGAACAGTGTGGTGAAACAGTTAAACAGTGATGGTGGAACAGTGTTGGTGGAACAGGGTGGTGGAACAGTGCGACAGTGAAGGTGGAACAGTGTGTTGGAACTGTGGAACAGTGATGGTGGAACAGCGTGGTGGAACAGTGGAACAGTGAAGGTGAAACAGTGGAACAGTGTTGGTGAAACAGTGCAACAGTGATTGTGGAACAGTGGAACAGTATTGGTGGAAAAGTGTGGTGGAACAGTACAACCGTGATGGTGGAACAGTGTTAGTGGAACAGTTTGGTGAAACAGTGCGACAGTGAAGGTGGAAGAGTGGAACTGCGTGGTGGAACAGTGAAACATTGTCGGTGTAACAGTGAAACATGTACAGTGATCGTGGAACAGTGATGGTGGAACTGTTTGGTGCAACAGTGGAACAGTGATGGTGGAATAGTGTAGTGGAACAGTGGAACAGTGATGGTGGAATAGTGTGGTGGAACAGTGGAACAGTGATGGTGGAACAGTGATAGTGGAACAGTGTTGTGGAATAGTGAACCAGTGATAGTGGAACAGTGTGGTGGAACAGTGGAACAGTGTTGGTGGAACAGTGGAACAGTGTTGGTGGAACAGTGTGGTGGAACACTGTTGGTGGAACAGTGTGGTAGATCAGTGCAACAGTGATGGTGGAACAGTGTGGTAGAACAGTGCGACAGTGAAGCTGGAATAGTGTGGTGGAACAGTGGAACAGTTATGGTAGATTAGTGTGGGTGGAACAGTGTTGGTGGAACAGTGGAACAGTGATAGTAGAACAGTGTTGTGGAACAGTGATGGTGGAACAGTATTGGTGGAACAGTGAAACAGTGATAGTGGAACAGTGGAACAGTGTTGGTGGAACAGTGGAACACTGATGGTGGAACAGTGTGGTGGAACAGTGGAGCACTGATGGTGGAACAGTGTTGGTGGAGAGCGGTTTAAACCAATGCAGTTCCGGTGCAGACCGGATTCACTGGTTTCGTGTGGACGCAAGGTCGATTCGTGTAAAAAAAGTATGCGGTCTTAAAAATATCAGGATTTGTGTGGAAGTAGCCTAAATTACGTCCACAATTAACAATGCACGCGAGCTACTTTATCTATGCCTAAAAGTAGCACGCAGCAGTTATGTCAATAAGGTTTCGTGAATAACCAGAGTTTTAAACGTGTCTAAAAGCACTGTACCTTCAACAATAGCTGTAAGGCCGGAGTGATGGGTATAGAATCGAGAGGGCGACCCGTTAAAGCGCGCCCGATCTCCAGTAAGGGATTCCCTAGTGTAACACCGCCATTTTTTATTTGTGTTGGTCACATCATAATCAAAGCGGGCGTACGTATTCTCCCCTGGGTGAGCTGTCTCACAGAATTCACCCAACTTAGCTTGAAGGTCTGTAAGAGAACGTACAAAAAACATTCAGTCAGGGTTGTAAGAATGCGCCGGCTACCTTGAGTGTTTCGCCGGCTGGAAATTGTTAGACGAAACGAAAACAATGGAAGATTAAAATATTGTAAAAAGAGAAAATAGAAAAAAGAAAAAGAAATCGTTTTAACCGTGCCCTGCATGATCGTTTTGTGATTTTAAACGGGTTTCGAATCCGCTCTCGCTTAGTTCTTCCCGTCGCCGTAGTAAGATACAATAAAGCGAATAAAAATAGCGTAGATGTATGTAAAAGGGTATGCTTACATTGTCTTTACATAATCTTTCGTGAAGAATGAAGAATAAAAGATACGCAGAAGTTTTAAAAAATCTCTTTTTAAGAAATTTGTATGCATTGGTGTTCCCAGGTGGGGGAACAAATATCACTAGGGATACGTGTTTCCAAGGTAAGGGAACACATATCACTAGGGATATGTGTTTCCCAGGTAGGGGAACACATATCACTAGGGATATGTGTTTCCCAAATAGGGGAACATATGTCACTAGGGATACGTGTTTCCCAGGTAGGGGAACATATATCACTCGGAATACGTGTTTCCCGGGTAGGGGAACACATATCACTAGCGATACATGTTTCCAAGGTGGAGGAACACATATCACTAGGGATATGTGTTTCCCAGGTGAGGGAACACATATCACTAGGGATATGTGTTTCTTAGGTGGGGGAACACATATCACTAGGGATATGTGTTTCCCAGGTAGGGGAACATATATCACTAGGGATACATGTTTCCTAGATAGGGGAACACAAATCACTAGGGATACGTGTTTCCCAGGTAGGGGAACATATATCACTAGGGATATGTGTTTCCCAGGTAGGGGAACATATATCACTAGGGATACGTGTTTCCCAGAGAGGAGAACACAAATCACTAGGCATACGTGTTTCCCAGGTAGGGAAACATATATCACTAGGGATATGTGTTTCCCAGGTAGGGGAACATATATCACTAAGTATATGTGTTTCCCAGGTAGGGGAACACATGTCACTAGGGATATGCGTTTCCCAGGTGGGGGAACACATATCACCAAGGATATGTGTTTCCCAGGTAGGGGAACATATATCATTATGAGTCTTTTCACTAAGAGAACAAAAGCGACTTCCAACATGTGGTTTGCACCAAAACGTGGTAAAACAAACGGTTCTCAATTCTCTCCTCACGTTTCGACGCCTTTGATCTATACCTAAACTAGGAATGACTAACGATCTTCAATGTTTCAACAAGGTGGAACAGTGTGGCGGAACAATGGAACAGTGATGGTGGAACTGTGTGGTGGAAAAGTGGAACAGTGGTAGTGGAACAGTGGAAAAGTGTGGTGAAACAGTCAAACAGTCATAGTGGAACAGTCGAACAGTGATGGTACAAAATGGGTGGTAGAACAGTAGAACAGTGATGGTGGAACAGTGTCGTTAAACAATGGAACAGTGATGATGGAACTGTCTGGTGGAACAATGGAACACTGATGAAACAACACTGTGGTAGTCCAGTGGAACAGTAATGGTGGAACAGTGTGGTGGAACAGTGAAACAGTGATAGTGGAAAAGAATTGTGGAACAGTGATGGTGGAACAGTATGGTGGAACAATAGAACAGTCATGGTGGAACAGTGTGGTGGAAGAGTAAAACAGTGATGGTGGAACAGTGTAGTGGAGCAGTGGAACAGTGTTGGTGGAACAGTGTGGTGCAACAGTGGAAAAGTGATAGTGGAACAGTGAAACAGTGTAGTGGAACAGTGGAATAGTCATGTTGGAACAGTGTGATGGAACAGTCGAACAGTGATAGTGGAACAGTGTGGTGAAAGAGTGAAACAGTGAAACAATGATAGGGGAACTGTCGAACAGTGATGGTGGAACAGTGTCGTGAAACAGTGCAAAAGTAATGAAGGAACAGTGTGGTGAGACAGTGGAACAGTGATGGTGGAAAAGTGTGGTGGAACAGTGAAACGGTGATGGTGGAACAGTGGAAGAGTGTTGGTGGAACAGTGTGATGAAAAAGTGGAACAGTGATGGTGGAACAGTAGAACAGTGTGGTGAAACAGAGGAACAGTGATGGCGGAACAGTGGGTGGTAGAGTGGAACAGTTTGGTGGAACAGTGGAACAGTGTCGTGGAACAGTAATGGAGGAACTGGGTGGTGGAACAGTGGAACTGATAGTGGAATAGTGTGGTGGAACAGTGTTGGTGGAACAGTGTGGTGGAACAGTGGAACAGTGACAGTGAAACAGTGTTAGTGCAACAGTGTGGTGGAACAGTGCGACAGTGAAGGTGGAACAGTGGAACAGTGATAGTGGAACAGTGTGGTGAAACAGTTAAACAGTGATGGTGGAACAGTGTTGGTGGAACAGGGTGGTGGAACAGTGCGACAGTGAAGGTGGAACAGTGTGTTGGAACTGTGGAACAGTGATGGTGGAACAGCGTGGTGGAACAGTGGAACAGTGAAGGTGAAACAGTGGAACAGTGTTGGTGAAACAGTGCAACAGTGATTGTGGAACAGTGGAACAGTATTGGTGGAAAAGTGTGGTGGAACAGTACAACCGTGATGGTGGAACAGTGTTAGTGGAACAGTTTGGTGAAACAGTGCGACAGTGAAGGTGGAAGAGTGGAACTGCGTGGTGGAACAGTGAAACATTGTCGGTGTAACAGTGAAACATGTACAGTGATCGTGGAACAGTGATGGTGGAACTGTTTGGTGCAACAGTGGAACAGTGATGGTGGAATAGTGTAGTGGAACAGTGGAACAGTGATGGTGGAATAGTGTGGTGGAACAGTGGAACAGTGATGGTGGAACAGTGATAGTGGAACAGTGTTGTGGAATAGTGAACCAGTGATAGTGGAACAGTGTGGTGGAACAGTGGAACAGGGTTGGTGGAACAGTGGAACGGTGTTGGTGGAACAGTGTGGTGGAACACTGTTGGTGGAACAGTGTGGTAGAACAGTGCAACAGTGATGGTGGAACAGTGTGGTAGAACAGTGCGACAGTGAAGCTGGAATAGTGTGGTGGAACAGTGGAACAGTTATGGTAGATTAGTGTGGGTAGAACAGTGTTGGTGGAACTGTGGAACAGTGATAGTAGAACAGTGTTGTGGAACAGTGATGGTGGAACAGTATTGGTGGAACAGTGAAACAGTGATAGTGGAACAGTGGAACAGTGTTGGTGGAACAGTGGAACACTGATGGTGGAACAGTGTGGTGGAACAGTGGAGCACTGATGGTGGAACAGTGTTGGTGGAGAGCGGTTTAAACCAATGCAGTTCCGGTGCAGACCGGATTCACTGGTTTCGTGTGGACGCAAGGTCGATTCGTGTAAAAAAAGTATGCGGTCTTAAAAATATCAGGATTTGTGTGGAAGTAGCCTAAATTACGTCCACAATTAACAATGCACGCGAGCTACTTTATCTATGCCTAAAAGTAGCACGCAGCAGTTATGTCAATAAGGTTTCGTGAATAACCAGAGTTTTAAACGTGTCTAAAAGCACTGTACCTTCAACAATAGCTGTAAGGCCGGAGTGATGGGTATAGAATCGAGAGGGCGACCCGTTAAAGCGCGCCCGATCTCCAGTAAGGGATTCCCTAGTGTAACACCGCCATTTTTTATTTGTGTTGGTCACATCATAATCAAAGCGGGCGTACGTATTCTCCCCTGGGTGAGCTGTCTCACAGAATTCACCCAACTTAGCTTGAAGGTCTGTAAGAGAACGTACAAAAAACATTCAGTCAGGGTTGTAAGAATGCGCCGGCTACCTTGAGTGTTTCGCCGGCTGGAAATTGTTAGACGAAACGAAAACAATGGAAGATTAAAATATTGTAAAAAGAGAAAATAGAAAAAAGAAAAAGAAATCGTTTTAACCGTGCCCTGCATGATCGTTTTGTGATTTTAAACGGGTTTCGAATCCGCTCTCGCTTAGTTCTTCCCGTCGCCGTAGTAAGATACAATAAAGCGAATAAAAATAGCGTAGATGTATGTAAAAGGGTATGCTTACATTGTCTTTACATAATCTTTCGTGAAGAATGAAGAATAAAAGATACGCAGAAGTTTTAAAAAATCTCTTTTTAAGAAATTTGTATGCATTGGTGTTCCCAGGTGGGGGAACAAATATCACTAGGGATACGTGTTTCCAAGGTAAGGGAACACATATCACTAGGGATATGTGTTTCCCAGGTAGGGGAACACATATCACTAGGGATATGTGTTTCCCAAATAGGGGAACATATGTCACTAGGGATACGTGTTTCCCAGGTAGGGGAACATATATCACTCGGAATACGTGTTTCCCGGGTAGGGGAACACATATCACTAGCGATACATGTTTCCAAGGTGGAGGAACACATATCACTAGGGATATGTGTTTCCCAGGTGAGGGAACACATATCACTAGGGATATGTGTTTCTTAGGTGGGGGAACACATATCACTAGGGATATGTGTTTCCCAGGTAGGGGAACATATGTCACTAGGGATACGTGTTTCCCAGGTAGGGTAACATATATCACCAGGGATATGTGTTCCCGAGGTAGGGGAACACATATCACTAGCGATACGTGTTTCCCAGGTAGGGGAACATATATCACTAGGGATATGTGTTTCCCAGGTAGGGGAACACATGTCACTAGGGATATGTGTTTCCCAGGTGGGGGAACACATATCACTAGGGATATGTGTTTCCCAGGTGGGGGAACACATATTACTAGGGATATGTGTTTCCCAGGTGGGGGAACACATATCACTAGGGATATGTGTTTCTTAGGTGGGGGAACACATATCACTAGGGATATGTGTTTCCGAGGTGGGAGAACACATATTAGTAGGGATATATGTTTCCCAGGTAGGGGAACACTTATCACTAGGGATATGTGTTTCTTGGGTAGGGGATCACATATAACTAACCTAATGAAATGTGTTTCCCTTGCCCGGAAACAGATATTCCTAGTGATATGTGTTCCCTTGATTCTCATGAGACGAGATAAAATGATTTATAACGAAACAGGGGTTAGGAAAATCGATCCTGGGAATTTGAGTCTTCAATCTTTAATTTTTTCAGTTAGTATTTATAATGAAAAGCGTAAAAACCCAGTCAGAATATTTCTTTCCGTAACCTGTTGACTTTAGATATCAAACAAAACACAACTCGTATGACAATATTCTTATAGTCTGAGGTGTATGGACGAAAGAAACGCTCCTTCGAGTTTTGAGTTTGAAATATTTTTCCTGTTTTTGGATATCAGATGAAACACTTTATCTCGTGTTTGATATACTACCTCTTAGTTTCTAGATCCTTTAATCAAAACGAAGAAGTTATACCCGCTCTCTCGTAACATCTTTGTACATCTCGCTTGGTTACGTCACAAACGCACTTGCCACTGATCTCATCACAGTACTGCCCACGAAGACACGGCGGATCACACAAGGAATCTAGTAAAAGGAAAGAGAACAAAGAGAAATATAGAAAACAAGAAGAAATATACGAGCTAACAGGTGATTCTATTTCTGTTTTCGGAATAGACCATCACCTTAATATCTCCGTCTGCAATTGTATTGTTCGCGATTGGTTGAGCTGGTAAATCTGAGGTGGTACCCAGGGAAAGAGGGATATGGGGCGAAATCTCTACGCTTCCTTTTAATTCTCACTCACGCCCCGCGTTCGTTCCAAGCTCACCTGTTTTTGCTCCGCTCAATTGATGCTCAGGCAGTCAATTCAATTTTACATCTTTTTTAACATCATTTCTTCTCCGAATGATTTTATCCATCTGTGGCGAGTTAAAGAGCAAACAAAACTATTTTCCTTCTTTGAACACATAACGTTGGTATTATTGCAGCTATTTTCTCACATGAATCATTTCCCTTATCAAACGAACGAGGTGTATTAAGAGGCTACAAAACGAGAATGAGAGAGGAAGGCGATACATACCAAAGGGATAAAGCACTTCCATGTCGCTTAAGTCCACAACTGAATCCTGAAACTCACACAATGAACGATTTCCTTTGTAAACGTTTCCAACGTTAAAGAAGGCAGACCCATTTTTGAGATTAATTACGAGGTCGGTCCCGAATCGAATTTCTCCCTGTAATCGGTATAAGGCATAAGACCTGTTGGTGGTGAAAACATTCAACTTTGCTTCCATATTTTGCGCCATTGTGGATTGCAGTGTGAACAGGAAAGCTTTTTTACTTGGTCTGAATCCACTGACGGAACCTAACAATAAGAAATGAACAAGATCAGAAGAAATCTAGAAGCGATACGTAGGGTCGTAACTTCAACTGTCTTGAAATGTCAATGAAAAAGGGTATGATCCCCTCAAAAACATGTTCAATCTAATCGGTTTGAAAAGAAACTGATTTTTTTTGTATGATAGCCTCTCTCGGTTCAGCCTTATAACTTGAGGTAAGATAGAGTAAGATAGGGTAGAATAAGATTGGATAGGATAAGATGGGATTGGATGGAATGGAATGGGATAGGTTAGAATAGAATCAGCTTTATTCAANAGGGATAAAGCACTTCCATGTCGCTTAAGTCCACAACTGAATCCTGAAACTCACACAATGAACGATTTCCTTTGTAAACGTTTCCAACGTTAAAGAAGGCAGACCCATTTTTGAGATTAATTACGAGGTCGGTCCCGAATCGAATTTCTCCCTGTAATCGGTATAAGGCATAAGACCTGTTGGTGGTGAAAACATTCAACTTTGCTTCCATATTTTGCGCCATTGTGGATTGCAGTGTGAACAGGAAAGCTTTTTTACTTGGTCTGAATCCACTGACGGAACCTAACAATAAGAAATGAACAAGATCAGAAGAAATCTAGAAGCGATACGTAGGGTCGTAACTTCAACTGTCTTGAAATGTCAATGAAAAAGGGTATGATCCCCTCAAAAACATGTTCAATCTAATCGGTTTGAAAAGAAACTGATTTTTTTTGTATGATAGCCTCTCTCGGTTCAGCCTTATAACTTGAGGTAAGATAGAGTAAGATAGGGTAGAATAAGATTGGATAGGATAAGATGGGATTGGATGGAATGGAATGGGATAGGTTAGAATAGAATCAGCTTTATTCAATCACGCTAAACTAATTCAACATAAGACGCGGTTTCCTATAGGGGCGTGCCTCAGAAAAACATTACAATTTCTTAAATTACAAAAGTTCACCAAGCGTACTGAATAAAAATAAGTACTAACGTCTAAAGCTAGAAGTAAGAGTACGCTAAATTATTAGTTAAAATACAAAAATTACTATAACGCAAAAGCGTTTCGCTAATTCAGGTGTAGAACTAACACAGTGGCAAGGTTTAAGCTTACCACTCCATGGTTTATCGGCGAATCCACCAAACAAACAATCGCGTTTTCGGATAATAACAACTGTGGCCGCTTTAAGCGCACACTGACTCTGAAAAATACTTGCATTCCAGCCATCTGCATTGGTGCGGAAGCATGGAACCCAGTACACGTTACCCAGTCCCTCCTCGGCCAACCAGTTGTTTAAGGTGTCCTGGTAGAATGGGCTATTCTGAAGCATCGCTGAGTTGATTCCTACATGTACAAGAAGAAAACATATATACACATAAAATGTATAGAACATAGTTGCATGTAGAAACTTTTAAAATCATTAATAATTCATGAGGAGAAAACAAAGGACATCACTAATTACCAATACTGGCGAACTTACTTCTAGTTGTTTGAATATCAGATGAAACACTCCCTCTCGTGTTTGATATACTACTTCTCGGTGTTTCGATATCAGATGAAACACTCCTCGTGTTTAACACAACTCTTCCGGGTTTTTGGATATCAGGTGAAACACTCCTCCTCGTGTATTTGATAGATTACCGTAAAATTCCCAAAATAAGCCCCCGGGGCTTATATTTTTCAAAGGCCCTTTTTGAGGGGCTTATTTTTTGAGGGGCTTATATTCGGAGGGACTTATCTACGGAGGGAAATTTGCGTTTCAAAATCGATTGGGCTAGCCTTGAGTTGGGAGGAAATTTACTGTTTTGGCTTTGTTTTACTTTGTATTTGAGGGCAGTTTTCCAAGTACAAGCCCCCGGGGGGCTTATATTTGGAGGGGCGATTTAACGGAGGGTTTTTTGCGTTACCGGTTTGGGGGGGCTTATATTTGGAGGGGCTTATACATGGAGGGGCTTATTTTCGGAATTTTACGGTAATTCTTAATTTCTGGATATCGGATAAAACGCTCCTCAATATAGGGCGACAAACACAACTTTGCTTAGAAAACAAGTTGCATCAAATGAAGCGTACAAACCTGACAGTGCTTGTGTATCCGCTTTTGGCGGTTCCAAGGGACACTCATCAGAGACTCCCAGACTTAAATCATCAATGGCTATGTCACTGGTATAACCATGACCAATTACATCTTCAAAGATAACCTGCAAAATATCATTATGTACATCATCAATGGCTGTATCATTTGTATAACCACAACCAAAAGGTAACCTGCGGAATATGACAAGGTGAATGTCAGGTGGGAGTACGGGGTTGATATTCTGGAGAGTAAATAACAGGAAAAAAAAAACGATTGTTTATGAGACTGATTTTATGAGGTGTTTATTTTACCTTTTAATATTTCGGGAAGAAACAGCGAAAGAAACTCAATCAGACGTTAAAGTCACCTGTCGCACATTCTAAGATAAAGGGGCCGAAAAAGGACTCAAAATCTTGCCATTCACACTTCCACGGTTTTTCGTACCTGAAAGGGAAGTTTGCTTGCTATTGGAACACTAGCTGAATACCATTGGTCGCCTTGATCACCAGCAAGTCTCCATAGCAACGTCTCTTGTCCACCATGGTCACGAGTGTACACATTCAAGCGACCAATGGTTGAGCCGTACATATGGTACCGAAATGAAAGACACTTATGGGATTCTGTGGCATATAGAGTCAAAATTCGGGCCTTCTGTCCTCGCTTTTTGGGATATGAAGATTCCACATAGATATAGCTTCTTTCATCTGGTAATAGAGAAGTAAAAACGCTTTGAAAGATGAAATGGGATAAAAGTGCAGAGCAGCTACCCCCAGTGCAGCCTTTCTAAGAGGTCCTTCAGGTTTTCGAGCTCTGAAATGCTACGTTAAGTGCAGAAGGAACCCTAACATAGATTTCGCATCGTCAGATATGTGTTTTCAATAACTTCCTCCGGACGGTCAAAACTAATGCAAAACCGCCTAACCGAGGACGCGGAACTTCGATGGGTCGAAACGCATTTGTGCGGGCCTTGCCTGATTGTTAAAAGAAAAATAATTTAACAAACGACATTTTACGAGCATGGCGAGAGTTCACAAGAGCCAGTGAACGTGGATTACCCAGTACGCGCATACAAGCCATAGAGTCCCCGCGATTTGATATTAAAAATGCAAGTTGGTAATATTTTCGGTGTCAAATACCTCTGCGGCATCCAAATAATTCAAGCCTGAGAGAAGGATAGTTATACCATGTTTGAGGATAAACCCGCACAAATTTTGCTGTAATTGAGAGAAAATTCGATACCACTGTTGATCTGTCGCTGTTCGCTTGAAAAATCTAAAGAGAGATAAAAAGGTTGGAGAAAATCGATCATTCTCTTGACAGTTGTTTTAAAGTAAAGTGTGCAAGTTACGCATAGTTTCTTTTTCTTGAAACTTGTTCAATAACTGTTCTATCATTCAACCAGTACTCTGCTGCCTGTTTTTTTTTGTGATATTTTATTGACAGACGCAGCAAAACTAAGCCACCGGCTTATGTCAAGAATTTACAGATTTCACGATTCATTTTCGTTGGAAAATAATGTTTAACTAATAAATGTGCCAACTTGAAAAAATATGTCAAAATGAAAAAAAAAAAAAGATAAAACTTCTAACATTTGATAACTTGTTCCAACTAATTCCCGCCACTACGACATTCTCACTAAAACTCTTTGTAGAATGACAACGGCTATCACGATTTCCCGCCAAAACGACGCTGGTTTACGCGCGCGCACTACTTAGTACTGAGAAAATCTCGTTCTCGTATTAAATCGTACATGTCTTAGAATCTAAAGGTCTCTAATATCTTACCTTGGGATTCCCATCAGTGGGGAAGTCACGATAAGGATCATTTTGAGAGGTCCGTGACTTGATAGTGTATTGTGTGACCCATTCATCAATGTCTGGTCTACCTTGAGTTGCAACCTGTGTTATCAGTGTGAGCCACCTAACGTTGATCTCAATCCATGGTGCTGTATCTGTGGGACTTGGCGCCCAACAGCCTGCGGAGTGAAGCCGGACATTTCGACTCGCAAACAAAGCGCTGCGACCAGAGGATGACGTAAATTGAGTTTCAACAAAAAGGTAGTTCCCGAAGCAAAGTGGATCAATACATAGTGGAGGAAATTCGGCAGGTAAACCTAAAAAAAAATAATCAGAGCTCTCATGATTAAAATATTTATGTAATTTATCTCGTTATCATTGATTTGTTCACAGGGGAAAGAACAATTCAGCATTGTTTGCCGGGATGGCACCCTAAAAACGGCCATGTTCATAAATATCACGAAATTATAAATAACATGCTCTCTAGTTATCTTGAAAACCTCAAGTGGATAGAAAGTTGCGGCTGGTGACTGCGAAGATCAGAGTTACCGTCAAGTCAAATTTCGTTGGGTCCGCTTTTGAAAAAAGGAATTGGCGTCACACATTTAGAGATGCAAAAACAAAGATTTCGCGTGGGACCGGAGGAAGCGAATGTTTTCATTCAGCAGCGCGTATTGATGCTTGGATGTGAATTGCTCTGTTTGTCTTAACTGGGTTAAACATGCCATGCAATAATCAGACGAATTTAACTTTCACCGTCATCACAAGGTCCTGTGTTGCTCGAGGAAGTACAAGAAACTTTTGGAAGCCATAAAAGATTCTGAACTTCGCCCTCCGTTTGATACGTTGCCCTTTTCAGTACGCACCACGATCCCTCTACAACGTTCACTGCAAAAAATGGAAAAACTATTAAAAAGTATTCTACAGAGCAATGTACAGTACTTGCTGGAAACTAAAAATGTTCTCGTAACGGTTCGAATGAAATCTAACACTGGAATTTTTAGGGTATTTGTATTAGGCTTAACTTAGTTCCAACGCGATCTATGGCAAACTGTAAGCCTGTGATTCATGATATTCTTATGTCCTTTTTTACATTGTAAAGCCCTTAGAACAGCGATGTATAAGCGCTATATAAATTCCATTATTATTAAACTGAACCCTTCCCCCACCAAGCAACATTACATGTAACTTTTACTGTACAGACCTCACCGTTTGTACAAGATTGCATTTTCTCTTAGACCCTGTTGAACCAGGTCGAATATGATGGTCAATATGGTCAGTATGATAGACTATATGGTCAATATGATAGTTTATATGGGCAATATGATGGACAGTATGGGAAATATGATGATCAATGTGGTCAATATGATGGTCCTATATAATGGACGTCATTCAACACTGTTGGACACCACAAATTGAAGCCAATCAGTCACCTTCTGGGCAGTGTTGGAAGTTGTTGAAATATGATGGATCAAGTCTGAAAGAGTTAAAACACTCTGGGTTCGTTCAGACCACGTCAAACAAACCCAAAACTATTACGGAAAAATGTTGGGTGAACCTGTTGGATCTTGAAACACGCGAATAAGATAGTAAAAAAATATATCCAGGCACATTGGCCCAAAGTTATTTTGACGCCGATTGCAGCTACGAATTAATACTTACAAGATGTGATGTAATTGGCCATCACTTCTTCTTCAGAAACAAATCTTTCCCATATGCGTAAGTCTGACATCTGGAGATTCGTACCCAATGAGCTGACACTCCCATTTTCACCCAATACTCCACCGATCTTAACGTGAGTAGCAGGGACCAAGTCCTCGGTCCCAATAAAGTCGGGTAGGTTAGTATACGATGATGGTTCGCCATTTATAAATACCCTTAAACCCCACATATCGTGCCACGTGACTGTCACGTGCTCCCATTCATGTGGCTCGCTGGAACTGTAAGTCTTTAAAGACCATTCTAGACCTTCCATGCTTCTTACATGTAGTTCGTACGAAGATATGTTTGGCACTTTATATACTGTGAGTCCAGTGGAAGGGGCGACTTCTGCAGTTAATGAAAGGACGTTGGTCTTTCCTCCGAGGAGTACGTCTATGATAATGACAACAAGAACAAAAAGGATACGCATCATACTATTCATTATCTAAAGGCTATTATGGCCGTTATCACCACATCATATTTCCCATCACTTCCTATCTCAAATCTCAAAATACTTTAACAGCTCGAAAATAGTCTCAGAGTCTCAACTTCCGAGTCTCCAAATTCTTAACACCAAACCCCCTACAATGAGCTCCTCCGTACGTAGATGGCAGTTATCTAATTCTATTCACTTCTTAAGTCGGGAAATCTCCAAAACTCTCAAGTGGTGAAACGTCTCTAGTCTAAAAAAAATATTCCTTTCGGGTGGAACATCCTCCTATAGTCAACAAAAATGGAGTTAGGCTGAGTAGCAGGCGCTTGGAAGTAGTGGGCGAAATAGAGAATGGGCGCGCACGAGGGAGACACGCATGTCTCCTTCTCGCGGGCCTGTTTTTTCTTGTGCCCACTACTTCCAAGCGCCTGCTACGCAGGCTAAAATGGAGTGTTCACAGGCTGACACTCACTTTCATAAACAAAAACTTCCATATCGTCAGGGACGAAATAAGCACTCCCCGCCAAGAGATTTATCGCCTCCGCAGTTGAGGGCTCAATACCCCAAGGTAACTGGTATTCACGCCCTGGTTGACTGAATGAACGGAGGCCTTCGTTTGCTCTGTCACATATAAACAGATCACTAGTGCCAAATACTGGGCCTTGGAGCGGAAGGCTTTGAGCAGCACGAAGCGTATTGTTTATTTGAAGCTTGATGGTTTGCGCGCGCTCAGGGTTCTGTAAACTAAACAGAAAGGCCGAAGAACTTGCAATGAATCCCCCGCCTGAAAAAGGAACACACGAGTAAATAATTAAATAGAGAAGATTTAAAGAAAACAAGGTGACTTGAAATTTTCGTCTTTTTTGGGATATCTTGCGGAGAACTCGTCAAAAGGAAGGACTCTGTAGGGTCGACGTCCTTCTAAGAACATTCGTAGATTTACCTGGGATAAACGACAAGGGCCACATAAACCTTTGACGATGGCGATTTATATCGGTAAGTTATCTACCAATCAAAATAATCGTAACGCCAAAAACATTCCATACTTACTACCCCATGACTGGTCTAAATAACCGCCGAATATATATCCATCCACTTTAACGAGCGTCACGCTAGCACCGCGTTTGTCACAGTTCGAGTGAAATGCAGCGGCTGACCAATCATCGTCAATAGCGCGGTAACAACGAGTCCATCGGGACGCGGGAGAGGTAACAGCAGATAGTAAACTGTTGAGGTCCTGGTGAAGAGTGGAATTCCCGCCCAGAATGTGGGAAATGAACTTTGCTGCATTAAAAGAACACAGTGGGTTTATGCACATCCGCATTAGATACCATTTCTTAGCTAATATGCAGATCACAAGATACGCGCGTGAAACAGAAAGTGATATTCCCATCCTTTGAAATATCTGAACAAAACTTGTGGAGTCGACGTAATTGCAAGTCAAAATCGTGATTACAGACCCTAACTCATATTAGAGCATTTGCTTTGCTACCATTGAGAATTCACCAATGGACTTGTCCAGGGAAAGCCAAAAATGCACGAATACGTCCGAAATCGAAGAATCAGTATGAATCAGTGAAGTGCTCTGTATCAGACTTTTATTTATTCCTTGGTTTTACAAGACAGGGTCACTGACTGAGCTTTTGGCTATGCTGTCTATGGCAAGACTGGCGAAGGTAAAAAATTCAAAAAAAGGGGAAAAAAGCAGAATAAAGGTACGTACGTTCGTTTTTTAGCCAAAAGCTAACGGCGAATCCACCTGGACAGAGACTTGGTTCATTAAGACAGTCATCTCCCGTCGTATCAAACCGCAATGTTGCGTTTCCTTGTATGCTGAGAACCTTCATGTGGGTATCAACACCATCACCAGAAGAAATAACTACTTCCTGCGTTGACAGCAAGTCAGGAAAACCACCGTTAGACGTGAAGCCAGAGAAATCCAAACGGTGCTTTTCTGTAAAGGAAATGGAAACAATATGCGAGAATCAAATTACCAATAACAGTCAACCCTCTCTAAGACGGAGACCTTTGGGGTCGGCACTAAATGTCGGTCTAAGAGTGATGTCCGTCTTATAGAGAGTCAAATAACGGGAGTAAAGAAAGGCAGGGACCGTTTTAGCAAAGTGTCCGTTAAGAGAGAGAAACCATTGGGAACGGACGGGGAAGTGGCGGATACAGGGTGAGTCAGGGGCTCCGTACCTGACACTTCCCCATGATGGAGAAATAATGAAGAACCTTATTGACGTGTCATGTCTTCAGGTTGGCAGCATGAATACTACTAATCGGGGACATTTGAAGACCGGAAGTAAGCGTTCTATCTCTAGAAAAACGATAAACGAATTCAGACGTTTTTCAATGGTATGCACAAGTTTGGACCCTTCTGTCAAAAATTTCTAGATCCGCCCATGCGGGAGTAATGATCTGTCTTTGATTGGTGCTCCTCTTAAAGGGTGTCAAAGAAAATGATCAATCCTCTGTAAAGGACCCAGTGAAATTTATATTTTCACCGGGTTCTCGGAGTAAACGTCACCAGGTTGGCTTATTTTCCACTGGGTAGTTAGGTTCTCTAGCGAGAAGAGCAATTAGAGCTGATGGACGGGGCGGGAATTACAACAGGAGCCTGGGGATCGCAATTTGTGACGGATTAAAAACAAAAGATAGTGCACTGTCAAGAAGTTCGAAAAATAAACTGAAGCACCTAGGTTCTTATCTTTATTGTTCGCTGTCTTTTATATCCAGTCTCCTCTACTTACGATACCTTACCTTTAACTTTACACGAGGAAGGTTTTTTAACAGAAACAGAAGAGCTTCTCCATGCTTTCATTTCCGGCCAAGGAAGAAGATTCCCGACTTCTGCTCCACAACTCAGTGACATCCTGTTGATTTTGTCCTCTGCTATATCCATGTTCCACATATTAAAATGGCTCAGATTGCCCTCAAAGGAGAAGGAACTGTCGTAACTGTAAGCCGTTGACCATTGCTGCCCAATCACCAGCTTTCCCGGCGCTACGTGAACTCCATTTGAAAGGTTAAAGCCTTTTTCAACTCTGTTGCCGTCCACGTGAATACCCCATCGACCATCACTGCTTCGCCACGTGACGCAGACATGGTGCCAAAGTGAGTCACTTCTGACGTCAGCTGTTTTAGCCACCGATCTTTGCTCTCCATTCACAAAAATGTCCATATGGTTTTCCAGGTCATGAAAGCTGAAGGCATTGATGTCTTGGTCATTAGTCAGTGAAAACACAGCCATTGTATTGGAACCCGTGCTTGGCAACATCATCCACCAACATACTGTTGTTTCGAGAAAGTCTGAAACGTCCATTGGACCAACATAAAATGAAATGGAACTCCTCTTAAAGTACAATTCATAATCCCACAATCGCTCTATGAAAAGAGAAAAATAATGGGTAAGTGTGTGTTTTTTTTAGTTTCATATATAAATATTTTTTTCAAGAGAATTTAAAAGTACTGTATCTTCCTTAATTTTTCAGTTGATCACCTTAAAAGTCGTTTCGTTTCCTTTTGCTGAATTGGGGCACTGTTAATATTTACTTTAACTTTTCCAACGCCGTTTAGAGAGTCCTCAATAAGGTTCTTCAATCCCGTAATCTCGGCCCAAATTTTCGCTCATTCCCGTAATGTCGTTGGTTATTTTTGGCATCCCAAATCCCGTGCATACTTTCAATTCCGAATCTCGTCCACATTTTGCTTTAAAATCCCGATTCCCTAACTTCAAATAAGGAAATCCCGGATCCTGAAAAAAGTATTAGGGACTCTCCGATTACCTTGGAGCCTCTGCAAATTTTGCCCCATATGGGGTAGGAAATGAGCGTTCATGAGCAAGAAGCCATGAGTGTTGAGGCGGTGTGTGACAGTCATTTCTGTCATTCTGCTGACCTAGAAGTCTTACCTCTATAAGCAAGTATATATGGTACAACCTTACCTTTGTTGGGCTTGATCATCATACTTGCGGCAGTCAAAGGCGTTCCAGTCCCTGACAACGTGATCCACGTCATCTTGGAAACACTATTACCATTAAGCTGCGAATCCCCACAAGCATTATACCACCACCCTCCCCTCCCCGAAGAAGCACAGTTTTGACTGGGATCTTCATCATTGTCCTTGTCCCTGGCTGTAAAAGACATCTCGTGATGGACTTTAAGGGAGTCCCCTGCAGTTCCTGTGTACCCCTGCACGTACAGTTTGTACTTTTCATCTCGTGGTTTGACCCAGAATCTCTTGTACACGGCGTGAGCTCGGTGAATTCCTCTTTTAAGCTGAATAAGTAGCTGATAAGGTCCCTTTTCCAACTCGCAACCACTGCGCAGGTACTTGTTTCCTAACCATAAATCACTCGTGCATCCGTCACTGAGCCAGATATCTTTATTGTTCATATTGTCAATACAACTGCCGAATCCGTTCTCATAGGCTGACCATGGTCGGTTAAACTGAAGGGCGAAATCGGCATGACGCTGAACGACCATCCATCCGCCGCCATTGACGAGGCTACAGAAAACAGGAAGGTCTTCCATTCCTTCCTCGTCGATGTAGAAAAAATCCTCCTTTGTCGTCGACAGAGAGTCAAGGCAGCTCGCCTCTGTTAACACAAAAGTAGATTCACACATGTAACTAACCCATTCACCTCTGAACTGCCAGTGAAGATCCACGTCCCTTATACAATCACCTCTCTCTAGGATGGAAACCTTTGGGTCCGGTACTAAGTCTTGGGGGGCGAGGGGTATTTGGGGTGATTTTTGCTGGGTATGTGTCGCTGGCCTCTTAGAAACCCTACGCCATTATAGTCTATCCTGTGGCCACATATAGACCTTATTAGTCACTTTTGCGAAAATGTAATTTTCGCGATCCCAAGTTAGTAACTTTCTTTTTATGCATCTACCTTAAAAAGCCTTTAAACTAGGTCATCCTGAAATGGATTGCCACTTTGGTTAACTTCAATTAAGTAAAAATATTCCCATTTTTAAATCGCTACCTACATGAATTTTCTGATCCCCCAAATCCCAAAAATGTGCGATCCCATTCTAGACATTTAACGAAAATACAGCTCTATTAGAGTCAATCCAGTCGTGAAAATGCGAGCCCATCCAGCGGCACATCCCTATTAGCCTTCTTCTTGAAAGTACCCCCCAGGTATTACGTGTCCAACTAAGAGAGATGTCCGTTAGCCCGTCAGGTCTTTGTTTAATGCTCCATTTTACCCACGAAAATGCTTGGTGCGACCACCTTCCGCTTTGCATCTGATTGGTCGACAAAGTCAAACGAGCCAATCAGAACCCCAAACAAATACCTGCAGCGGCAAGAGCGGGAAAAGGCGTGCGACCAACTCATGACCACCATTTTTGGCTTTGCAGCTGATTGGTCGAGAGAGTCTAACGAGATATTTACGCCAACGGCAGAGCGTGGGAATACATTGCATATTGTCCACACACTAGCCTAGCGTGAGTAGCTGACGGGATTAGCGGAGGAGTGCTGAAGTTTTCTGGCGGCGTGATCGCGACCCACCAGCTACACCGGCTACCCACGCACCAGAAATTACATTTTCCGATGAAGTAAATAATTCATTTGAGCACAAGATACTTACTTCGCCTGACTGGACATTCCCATTGAGGAGAGGAGAGCAGTGCACTCGGAGCAGCTGCCAAAAGATCGTTCCACGCGACGGTTGTCCCGTCTGTTAAACTGCAGGTCAGAAAGAGCTGTCGAATCCGAGTTTCGGATAAAACCTCACCCCACATGTTTACGTCATTAAAGACACCCACGTAAGCGTGCTGTAGAAGAAAAGCACCAGCCGTTTCATCCCACGCTTGACCCAGATAAAACCGTCTACCGGGTCCACCAATCTGTGTACCGGGTTTTAGTGAGGTACCTTCGGCGTCTAGTTTGCCATTAAGAAATATTTTGAAGTCGCCGTTTATGAAAGTTCTTACGAAGCAAAGATGCTTCCATGGTCTCCTCAATAATTTCTCCGACAGCTGCTCTGTTCTAAAGATAAAGAGGATAGAAAAAATACTGTATAAGCGTTTGAGCAATGCCAGCTAAACTAAAAAAACAGTCCTCTCAGAGGACATATGCTTTATACTGGCAATAAATAGTCTGTCCTTCAGTGACCGAAAAAAAAAGAAAAGAAAAAAAGGGAGATCGCTTGCCGAGCTTATATAAAGTGGGAGATACGAGAAGCTCCGAAATGCAAGGGCTTTACCGAGGGACAAGGCAAACTGTCCGTAATAAGGAGGTGTCAGTATTAATTAAGCAGGTGTCTGTTAAGTGGTGTTCGACTGTATGTACTTACGTAACAGCGTTACCAACTTGGAGTTCTAATCTCCTTGGACCATCGTTGTCATATCGAATTTCTATTTCAATGTTGTTTCCAGATAAGCAAGAAATCAGCCCCACTAGATGGTTCACTTCAACTTGAGCTCTAACCCACATACAGATGGTTAAGTCCTGCACCGAGGTTGTGGGTGCGCTAATGCTGACGATGTTTCCCGTGCTTTGGCTTGGGAATTTGATATTATCTGTTACACCTGGGAAGTTGAAAAACCTCAGATTATTATTATTGTCATAATTATTATCATCATCATCATCATCGTCGTCATCGTCGTCGTCGTCGTCATCGTCATCGTCATCGTCATCATCATCATCATCATCATCATCCATCATCATCATCATCCTGCTATTTTTATTGCCACCGAAAATGTCTAAGAAACCAAAGAATGTTAATGAGTAAAAAAGAAGAACAATTACCGTAAAATGCCGAAAATAAGCCCCTCCATGTATAAGTCCCTCTAAATATAAGCCCCCCAAACTCGTAACGCAAAAAACCTTCCGTTAAATCGCCCCTCTAAATATAAGCCCCCGGGGGGCTTGTACTTGGAAATTTCCCTCAAATACAAAGGTAAAACAATGCAAAAATGGTAAATTTACTTCCAACTACAAGGCTAGCCCAATCGATTTTGAAACGCAAATTTCCCTCCATAGATAAGCCCCTCCGAATATAAGCCCCTCCTTAAATAAGCCCCTCAAAAAGGGCCTTTGAAAAATATAAGCCCCGAGGCTTATTTTCGGAATTTTACGGTATATATATTAGATACGACGTGTCACCTGAAACCACTCTTGGCAACCTCAAGGAAAATAGAACCAAAACAATACAAACCTGAGAAGTAAAAGCAAAAGGGTTAGCTTGAAAACTTTGTCCAAAGTTAAATAACTCATTAAGTGAACGTCAATAATGGCTGGGTTTCATCTATTCAAGAAAAATAGGTAAGGAGTAGGCTTTCCTGGGGGGTACTCCAGATTTCAATTGACCGGGATGATCGAATGGAGCCAAAAATCAAAACTCAAAAAAATCCCTAGGGCTCCCCTACAAAACCCAAAAAATGCCTAGATCAAAAGTTAGCCCCCAAAAAGCCCTATGCCGAATTTCTGAACCTTAAAAATTTCCAGAAAGCATTAAATGATATAACACGAAAAATAAAAACATTGGAAATTGAAAGTTTGTTTTTGTTTCTTGACCATACCATCCGAAGTTATCATACGCGGGCACTTCCACGAATCCTCAGATTGTGTTAGATACCCAAAACCCCTTACTTAAATAAAGCCACCCCCAAAAAACTACTTGCCAAATTTTCTTACCCAAAAAATCCAGGAATCGAAAAATTCACACCCCTAAAAATCTTTCGATCGACCGGCCTGTCACTTGAAATCCGGAGTTCCTCCCCCCGGAAAGTTGGAACTAGAATTGTTTCTTCAGCCTGCTGTTTTTAACCACGTAGCTACAGTCCGCTTAAAATGGCAGTTCAGCATAAATCACAAATGTTAGTACGTGCCATTCGAAGAAAAAAAAGGATACTATACTTCTGCCGAACAAAGTTCATTCGAATGGCCATAATGTACGATTTCGCCCAGAGACTGTGAGGCGAGATATGAAGAGCAGCAGAGCTACTAGGCTGGATAAATTGTTATAAGGGCAGATACAGCATTTATTAAACGGGCTGGTTATGCGCGAAGAACCTTTACAGCTTAAGTGAAAACTTCTAAAGCAAGCAAAATATGATACTCAGGTGATGTTTGTTCAATTAATTAGGTAAAAGCCATTTATCCCGTTAGTCACTAAGTGAGAAGATATTTAATATTAAATATATAAAGTAATTCGGCTTCCCCAGACTTTTCATGCGCAGTAGCTTATTTCAAAAATCTAAGCGATGAAAACTTTTGGGATTGATTATCGAAGAAACTGAAATTTTTTCCTACGGCACTTTTATAGTCAAGGCTGAGTCGCAATCGGAGTCGGAGTCGTAATCAGATGCGTAGAACGTTAAGATCTAGTGAAAACAGGGTTCCGATTCAGCTTACGTTTACGACTCAGTCGTTTACGATCAAGTGAAATCTGGGTCGTCGGAGTAACAAGCAGAAGCGGAGAAACTAAACCGATCACAAAGCGTGGGAACGTGTATTGGTTTATCCTACAGCTTCTGCTTCCGACTCCGACAATCTGGTTTTCACAAGATCGTTAACGACGGAGTCATAAGCGGAGTCCGAAGAAAATGGAAACGTTCTGATTTTTCCACCGCTGATTCGCTTACGACTCCAACTCTCACTCCTACTCCGTTGCTAGTGAAAACCATCCTTCAGTCGCGAAAGATCCGTTTTACCACCATTCAATGAGTATTGGTTCTTCTTCGCGTAGTACACGGCCGTCCAGCTGCACCTTTACTCACAAGCCCTCTCGAGTCGGAGTCCCGTTTCCTCCCTTCCCTTTTATGCGCGGAGGAAGTGTATCAGTTTTCAGATACCAGAGCCTCTTTATCGTGATAGGTTTTACAACAACTGTTCCCTATATTTCTTCTAACAATTACTTCATTCCAGAGCACTCAATTGCTTTTGGATTTCCACTGCCTTATATATCATAAAACGCATTGAAAACAGACAAATTGGAACAAATCGAAACGCTTTACGAAAACAACATAACTAGTACTCGTCTATAATACAAAAAAAATTCAAGACGAGTTGAAGAAGTTAGATCTGAATGGGCCCAGATAACCCCGTCAAAAAGTAATTTTTTTTACCGACTAAAACTGCGCATTTTGAAACGGCATGCAACGCTTTCCTTTTAGAAATCGTAATTAAGCAATTCCTACCTTGATAAACGTCATTTTAGTGAACTCGCTACTCTAGTATTAATCATGTCCGTTAGCTAGACATTGCAAATGAAATGAATTATTTCTGAAATTTTAGACGATCTCTGCAGCAGGTATCCGGATTAGAAACAAATTAAGTGTTTCATCAACAGGCGTTAAGCCTTTAAGACTCAATTAATTCACCAAATTTAAAAGTAAATCCCTTATTCTTCACAAACAATGTCGCCATGAAGATTGGCTGTATAAAGAAGAGAAACGGCAGAAGGGCCATCTTAACACATCTGTATTTGAATTTAGGTCTTGATTGGAATTTAAAATTTATAATATAAAAGTCGTATACGAAGCTAGGCTAAAAAACTCGCATAAAATACTTTCCTCTAAATACATTCACGTTCAATTCAATCATAATTTTTGTGTTACTTTGTGGACATTTTTCACCACTCGTTAGACCAAGGTTGGAGTTGTGGGGAAAGGTAACTTAGTTACCTACCGATGAAACAGTGACCTATAGTTGTGTCCTGTGCAATGTGACCTCTAATACGTTACATGTAAATGTAATGTCTAGACGACTTTAACGTCTCTAGCATAGAGACGAAGAAACCGCCAATTAAAAAAGAAACCATCTAAAATCGCTCTAAAAAAACGTAATACATTACACGTCTCTGATCAGATATAGATCGCCCCATGTAAAGGAATCCGGATTCCGGAATCCGGGAAATTTTTGCATCTGGAATCCGGAATCTTGAAAATTTTTGCTTGTGGAATCCGGAATCCTGGGCCTTGGAATCCGGAATACAGGTGTAGGAACCCGGAATCCCACTAACAATTTGAATCCGGAATCCAAGTTCCACTGAAAAAGATCTGGAATCCAGTAATTGGAATCCGGAATCCACCTTGTGGAATCCAGAATCCAAGAGTGTCTTGGATTCCCTTACATGGGGCGATATAGATGTAGACTCGAAAATTGAGCATTGTATTGTATCAGTTGCTGTTATTTTCGAGCGTACAGGTAGCGGAAAATTCTGCAGCGTAACTTTTTCTATTTAATTCTTTCCAGTATAGAGATAAAATTGCGGGGGAAAAATGCATCCGAGGTTTTTTCTTAGTGATCGTTCGGCAGGGGTATTTTGCAGAACGCTGAACGCCGAACGACTCTGAGTTTAGTGACTGGGGTTAGAAAACTGAGTGAATCAGGTTTTATTTAGGGTCATTACAGATACTGGGAAAGCTGACCTGAAACTTGATTCACTCAGTTTCCTAACCCTAGTCACTAAACGTAAGAGCTATTCGGCATTCTGCAAAATACCCCAGCCGTACGTGAGGTGCCCAGGTTTCAAATAGCTCGTGAAATAGCCAGAGCGGAGCAGCAGATCCAGCTATCGATAGCTAGCAATAAGCATGCGGCCTTTTCACGACCTCAATTGATCTCTTCTTAAAAACGACAAGTAAAGAGATAGATGTAACTTAGTGGTACAACAAGTGGCAAAATACAATCAACAATAGAAGTGGAAGAAGAAGTAGAAGACACGATCCTGTCCGAATTCGATCAGAACCTTACCTCGAATAAGTTAATTCAGTAGCTAGTGCTCCCAAATATTATGGCTGTATAGCATGCTTAGCGATTCTTGAATCTTTACATTGGTGAAAAAACGACGATGTTTGTAGATCCATCGCTTGTATGTTGTTCTAATCAACATTGTTCGAAATGACCGCCATTAAGAATACCATGACACGAGACTTCAGGCTCGATTGCCAGCGGTTTCAAATCGAACCTTCGGGGTAATTGGTGTACGTAAAGGTGATGTTACACGGGACGATTCGCAACGACGATTTTTAGCACAACACATCGTTGCAATGCTGGAACAATGTTTTGTTTTAAATGTCAGCGATCCATAGTATGTTTCTCCTATAGACATTGGTGTCCGAAAGATACACCTTAAATAGATCTGGCCCTGGGTAAAAAGAAGTAAGGGGATGGGTATAGCCTGCGTAGCTGGCGGGATTAGCGGGAGTGCTGTAGTTTTTTGGCGGCGGAACAACCTAGCAAAGTTTGCCACTCCCTTCGCGTGGCGGCTCCGCCGCCAAGAAAGTCACCCGGACAAGAATTCAGCTAGCTACGAAGGCTAGGGTGGGCAAAAAGGATACACTCCCTTACACGTGTCCTTATTCAACGGTGTTACAAGGGACCTTCAAGGGCAACCCTCGCGTAGGACATCATTTTTCGGAAAAACCTTGCAAATGCTTTTCTTATTGTAATACAATCAAGAAATATATCCTCAGCGATCTGTTTGGCCCGAAATCGAAACTGAAAGTGTTAAACAAAGTCGTTTTTGCGCGACCTACGTCAACCGGACGTGAAGCGCTTTCCATTTAAGGATACGCTTAACGCTAAAGTCGTAGTACGAAGTATCTTTGCTCTTGAGGAGAGGATTTACCCGAAAATTTGGGCAAAAATCAATGCCCAATAACCCAAAAAGTCCACTTCCGGTTGACGTGCGTCGCTCAAAAAACGCCTTTGCTTAAGCGCCCATCCTGTGCTAGAGATTACGGAGCATTATACGTTTATGGGATACTGACCACCTACCCCTCCCCTAAGCCTGGAAAAGTGATGGTGGAACATTGTGGTAGAACAGTGGAAAAGTGATTGTGGAACAGTGTGGTGGAACAGTGGAACAGTGATGGTGGAACAGTGTGGTGGAACAGTGATGGTGGAACTGTGTTGTGGAACAGTGGAAAAGTGATGGTGGAACAGTGTGGTGCAACAGTGCAACAGTGATGGTGGAACAGTGTTGTGAAACATTTTGGCCTAAGTGAGCAGTAAGTGTTAATTTTGGCTTAGGGAAGGGGTAGGTGGGCAGTTTCCCAGAAACGTATTTGTCTCAGATAGCACATTGCAGTCAATGAACAGCAGTGTCGGCCACTAAAACCTTCGTTCGTCTTTTGCATTTTTATGTATGTGAAGTTGTCCAAGACCGAATATGTACACCTCTCCAGTTTTAGGCTCCCGCCGCTACGATTAAATAAAATAACGGCGATTAAAGATATTTTTATTCTAGCCTTTGGCTTTGATAGAATCTTGCACATACATACTCACTACATGGTACTAAAACAGAACTGTTCAGGACACGACATAGAAGCCTTTAGAGACCACGGCAATGATAGCCATTACCTGCATTTATCTGATTTAGATCAAGTCCTATAAGGAAATCCGTAATATCACGAACCATTCCGCGCTTAGCAACGGACGATGGACTGGTGACCAGTCCACGGTCGGTCGCAGTTTGATTTATTCTACAGCGCCAAGAGCCATTGGCGCTCTTGATAGAGGCAAAGAGCCTTGAATAGAAATTGCTTTTCCAGGCTACCGTAGAAAAGTGTCGATACAAACACAGGATTGAACAAACTGGAGAAAAATTGTTTGCGAGAGAAGCCAGACTTTTGCAATTATATAATATTAGATTGATGTTGCCTTAATAACTTCTGCCAAATAGCGTGTAATACTTGGCGGGTTGATCACACTCCAGGTAAACACACTTTGTGTCAGCGGTTAACTCCATGGGCTGGTCAAACGGGATACACAAGCTTTTGGCGCCCATAGACGGGGCTCCTGCCTCCAAATCTTGGTCCCTGAGAAACAACAACATTTAATTATCACAATACAATTTCGCAAACTCTGTTTCAGTACATAAGAACAGCAGAATAAGGTGAACTTTGATAAATATCACAATTTTGCAGCCTTAAGGCTATGTCCTGTCTATACCGGACTAGCCTGCGTAGCAGGCGTTGAAAGGGGTAGGGGATACGGAGGAAGGGAAAAAGGAAGGGGGGTTGGGAAGAGAGGGTAAGGGACTCCCTTCCCTTTTCTCCTCTTTCGCGCTTTCTCCCTTCCCTCCCCTCCCCTTTTTGCGCCTGCCACGCAGGCTATACCGGACAGCTGTTCTTGGCGACACGAAAAGCTGTCCGCTATAGTGTGTACAACTATCCGATATGTGACTCTCCGCTTTAGAGATCGCTGCAGCGCGGCTTCGCTGGGTCACTAAAATCGCGCTACCATAACTATTTTTGTGTGTGAACAGGGGCCCTATCCGGTATGAATTACGTGGCGGCGCTAAAGCTGTCCGGTAGAGTATGAACACCTATCCGATATGTGACGCTCCACTTTAGAGAGATCGACGCTGCACAGCTTTGCTGCGTCACTGAAATCGCGCTGCCACAACCGTTCTTGTTTGAGAACAGAAGTGCTATACGATATGAATTTCATGGCAGCGCAAAAGCTATCCCCGGCAAAATAATATGAACATAGTCTAAGAGAAGTAGCAATTTCTCAATCTCTGTTTCAATACATAAGAACAGCAGAATAAGGGGAACTTTGATAAATATCACAATTTTGCAGCCTTGAGGCTATGTACTCTCTATACCGGACAGCTGTTCTTGGCGCCACGAAAAGCTGTCCGCTATAGTGTGTACACCTATCCGATATGTGACTTTCCGCTTTAGAGATCGCTGGACCGCGGCTTCGCTGGGTCACTGACTACCATAACTATTTCTGTGTGTGAACAGGGGCCCTATCCGTATGAATTTTGAAGCGGCGCTTAAGCTATCGGTATAGTATGAACACCAATCCGATATGTGACGCTCCACTTTCGAGAGATCGACGCGGCACAGCTTCGCCCCGTCACAGAAATCGCGCCGCCACAACCGTCCTTGTGTGTGAACAGAAGCGCTATACGATATGAATTTCATGGCAGCGCAAAAGCTATCCCCGGCAGTATAATGTAAACGTAGTCTAAGAAGTGTGGTAGGAGATTGGTGGGTCAATGGCCGGAAGTCATATTCACGAGTTCTACAAAACGTACGCTGATCTACAAAGACAAATTCTAAGCAAAGAAATGAAAATGGTGGGCTTTTCGTTAGTCGTGTTCAAGAACTTTTTTCGACAACAAAATTTCGTTTATTACATAAAAAAAGTTTCTATCATTATTTCTGAAAAGCATTTTTTGCTAGTTATTCAGAGCCATTCAGATCCTTGGCGCACATAGAAATATCAACATTAAATATGCCACATCTTGTACCTGGCACTATCTTTCTTGATCTTGCCTTCGCAAGTCCCATCACCACAAAACGGCGCCTGGATGATCTGAAATAGAGATATAGGAAAAGTTGGTCGAATGTTCATGTTTATTACAGTATGCAGAATGCCTATTTTCGTATAAGCGCGGTTGACCGAAACCTCGCCTCACGGTGTTCAAATGCAGGAAAGCCAGTCTAGTTAACCGATTTCTCGCTTTCTGTAGCTGGTCGGAAATTCTCCACACGAACACTTCAATTTGGTTATACACTTCCGTTGAAAGAAGGCGAGTTCAGGCGAGAGAGCTTTCAGAGTCAAAGACAAGAATCCGCTCTTCACTTTCCCGTAAAAAAATAAATTCCCAGTTTATTAGGTTGAAATTTCTCATCTTAGTATGTGCTAATTAGAACTTTAGCTGTTAAGCAGTATTGTCATTACAGATTGATTGTTTTCTTGTATTTTTCAAACGTAGTTTCTCATTTTTCTTGAACTGTCACTTCATCACCCTTCAAGACGAAATCCACTAAAAGCACACACCTTTTGCTTGTCCAGCAAAGCGTTGAACTCGGACCAAGAGTGCGTTACAGCCATGTTAGCATGCAACTCCTTCTTTGCTCTGAAAAATAAAAATTAAAGGTCATATAAATGAAGAATAAATACATAACCAGAGTTTGAATAAAAATGATGAGACAAATGGTACCTATTCACACGAACTTTCAAAATTTAACAATAAAACATGTGAGAGATGGGCGTTACAGGGTTTAACTAATAAAACACCCCTGTTCCGTTTGGACTGCTAGTGGGGAGTAAAAAAAGCGCACCGTCGACCTCAATTATTATCTGTCACGAATTATCGACGTAAAATATGGTTGCTTTTACCCTTTACCTTTTTTTAATGCACGGTGACGCTGAAGAAAGCCTGCCCGTGCTGTTTCCTTCGTTACGCGCTAGAGTCCTTAGAGACTGCTACAAACCGACTACGCCTGCGAATTAACCATTCCGAGGTTGCATTTGAAACTGGATCGGAGTTGTATCGAATTGCATTATAGGACTGTTTAGGGGAACAAATTTGGACCCAGGTACCTGTGCAAACTTCTAACTGCAATAGCCGTACCCAAAACAGCTCCATAGTGCAATTTTGTCACAACACCAGAACACGCAAACGTACAAAATGCAGTCTTACTTATTGTACATATCGTGGTGAATTCGCTCCAGTGTCTCCTGAATGATATCTTCAATATCAGCCTGATTGACAGAATTCTACGGAAAAGCAAAGGAAAACATTGCATGTACACCAGGGCCAAGTTGTTCAAAGCTGGGTTAAGATAACCCAGGGTTAGTGCGAGATTTGAATTCAGATTTGAATGCTTAAAAAACATTTCGGCTTTAGTCCTTTTTGTCTACAAGTTGGTGAATGTAAGCTCTAAAAATAACAGAGAAAATTATCCAAGAAAATGCTTTTGAACACAAGAAAATGAAACCCAGGTTAAATTTAACCCCGGGTTAAGGGCTAATCGGCCTTCGAACAACTGGGCCCAGAGGAAAAAAAGTCAGTTTGGCTTTCCCGAGCAGTAAGACTCACAGACTTGTTCAGGGGCAAGGGTAAAACTGTCATGACCTTTGACTGTTGCATTAAGAAACAAAAATATGGAATGAAATGCCTCCAACATTATGAAATCTTTCAAAAAATGCCTTAAAAAGGAAAATAAGAGAAAAAAAAATACTTTTTGACGTCAGAGCTTCAGAGGACCGTTACAATGATCTCCAAGAAATCATTCAAACTCTCAACTCGTGGTTGTCATAATTTTATTGTATTAGTGTATCAGTAGTCTCTAGTCATAACTGGCGGTTGTCATAGTATATCAGTAGTCTCTAGTGATTATGTCAGTTTTCTAGTTAACTCTCAAAGGTAACAATTGTAATATGACTGTCGCACATAACCTGACTGCTGGCATAATCGTCCACAGTTGCCATGGCACCAAGCGCACGTTTATTATGTATTTCCAATCATAATATAGCGGTGGTTAGCTCGAAAGCTAAGTTCCTCTGACCACCGTACACTTCTACCCAAGCCATTAATTTTCGTTTTTTTTCCTTCTTCTTCTACTTTATTAGTGTATTCTTACCTTACTATATATAATGTTAATATTTTATAAAGTGTGAATAATAAAATTGAATTGAATTGAATTGAGGTTTATTAGGCCTCTAGCCCCCGCTCTGTTGCATTTAAAAACATGACCGGCCAAAATTAGCGTAGCTACTCGCGGGCATGCTTAACTTGCATTTCAATCCTGAAAACAAAATAAAATGTATGTATATTTGCAAGGGGTGTGTGAACCTGAAACATGAAAGCGGGGAGAAGGCAAAGTAACGTGTTATTACAGTTGGTAAAACTCACAAGATTCAATTGCAGGCGCTTTCTTCGGGTGCGCAAATGTTTTTGCTCGCGTGACTGCAACACTGAATTCTAAAAATGTTGAGGAGTTGGGGCGAATCAAGAGGGGAGGGGAGGGGAAGGGGGCACAGAGAGAGAAGAGAAGAGAGTACTGTTTTCTCCCCTCTCCTTCCCCCCTTCTTTCTAACTAACATCTACCCTATGGGTTGCTATTTCTCCTCTCCCCATTCCTCAGGGAAACCGGTCGTTTCGATACAAAATCGTTCCGATATGAACTCGCACTGAAATTGCACAAAAATTTCATTCTCTTCAAGGATAGATTGCGCGTGAACAAGAAAAATATTTTGGATAAATACTCTTCGTTCTTCAAGCCAAATTCGTGGAGCTATTTACTGAATAAACTTGTATCGAACGACTCGTATCGAAACGACTTTCTATCGAAACGACCGGTAACCCTTCCCCAGTGATAAAATCAAACATGGCCGCCATGGCATAGCACTTAAAGAAACGGATTTAACTCCCCCTAGCTTTGCAGGCGTAGTTACCTTTTCTCCTGTATCTCTTCGTACCATAACCGCTTGCCCTGCCTTCACGTCACGTGGTCCCACTTCAAGACGGATTGGAACACCCTACAAGTTTAAGATCAAAACATCGCCAAAGTTGTCGTGGGACTGGTTATAAATTGGGAACATGCGGAATTTTTTTTACGCCTCTCTCGACTCGAAGAACGGATGTTGCACGTTTTTGACACAAAAATGCATATTCAGCCTTTCACTCACTCCCTCTAGTGGTCATTTGAAACGCGTTCTTTTCTTGATTTCCTTCAAGGTCCCACATCAAACAAAACGATATTTAAAGCCCCGTAAGCCATTCTCCAACATGTTTGAATGTATTTTTGTGATTGGACGAGAACGTTCAAATCAAGCTCGCATAATACTCGATAGCAGTACTACTTTGAAACTTCGCCTTATCTTTTCTGAGCATCAACGGTATCGAAAGTTGACCCGAGGTATTTGCAGTGTTTTGGGAAATCTCAAAAGTTGTCTCCAAATGCTCCGATTTTGTCACAACATATTTAGGAAATAACCGATCATTCTCGAAGATGACCCGACAGCTTCCGAAAATGACCGAAGTATTCCGAAGTGTCCGAAAAGTAATACCTTAAGTTCCCAGTGGTTAAACTTCCATCCAGGTGAGTAGTTGTCTCTGTAATCACCCTTTGCTCGGATGCCGGCATCTTTCAGTTTGCCTTCCAACGCGCTACAAGTGTTTAATAGCTTGGTCTTCTCTTCATCTGGTAACGTTGCTGTCAGGCCACACGGAATAATGACAGCCTGCAAGGAGGAAAAGACATGGAGTACTTCACTTCCGGAGACAATTATCATTTACAAGTTTACTATCTTTCATTGGTTGCGCGCGAGACTGGATAGGCATTGTGTCGAACTGCACTAAGGACAGTTTTGACCCATCTTCCTGCGCGAGGGGCAGTACACCGGCCATTTTTCCACTCGCAAACATCAAGATATCCGCCAGCAGATTGCGGCAACTGATTGGTTCTTAAAAAATTATGCTTATTAGCCAATCACGGTGCTCCATTCTCTGAGACATTTGCATTTTATTTTCCTCTTTTTCTGTAAAGTTTCTTCGTTGTTGCACTACCTTTACTTAAAAATACATTGCTCCCAGCCAATCAAATTCAAGAAATGTTTTCGTGTTTATCATTTAGAGTATAACAAGACTACAGCAAAAATTCATTCAAGTGGGTTTTACCTGAACGGAAGCGATACGTGGTGGTAGGACCAGTCCTTGATTGTCTCCGTGAACCATGGTCATAACACCGACTGTACGAGTGGTGAGACCCCAGGAATTCTGATACACATATCTTTTGTCCTGTAAATTCAACACAAGAAAATAACATGGTACCCTAGCAGTGGGAATACAATTGTGCCTCCGCTTCCGGTTTTGGACATGCTCGTGATTGACAGCTTGGAGATACTGCATCAATAATCAATGACCACCTGTCTTTTTTAGAGTTACACGTTGTGAACATTTGGGTTGATGTTTTATCGTGACAAGCAAAAAAATTAGCTTTAGCAATTACCCGTCGACTCATCGATAACTCTCTTTAAATCAGGTGTTAAAACTTGTCACGAAAAAAATTGTATGACGTGGTGTACTACCAACGACAAACTTTTGTGTGCATAACGGTTCTTCTACCATTCGCATCACTCTGAATAAAGAGAATGTGTATGACGAAACGGTGCTGCTAGGCCGGTTTGGTTTCATCAACTGATTTTGC